CCCGCCCCGACTCTTCTCCTCCCTGCGCCCCGACTCCTGGCAATCTTCCCACTTCCGCTCCCTCCCCCACCGCCGCACGCCCCCATTCCCCAACCCCGCTTCCGCTTCCCCCCCCTTCGTACGATACCTCTATCCTTTCTTTCTCTAATCTACACTATACTCTTCTCTCAAATCTTTCATCATCTTTCAAAATCCTTCAATTCGCCTACCACTACCTCTATCAATAGATTAGGAACCTATTCTTCTTTAGAATTTCTTCTTTTTAGTTTATGAAATCAATCTTTTCCATGAATTCCTTTCCTTCACAAGGGCTCGTTCAACACTCCTCGGGCGCGCAAAATCCCTGAGGAAATCATGGTTCCACTTATCCTCGGGGAAGAAAATGAAAAAAAAAAAGTGAAAACATTTCCTCGGGGATTCCTCGGGTTTTCCTCGGGCTACAGCCATTTGGACGCGTTCCCCAGGGGTCCTCCCGAGGTCCCTTGGAGGTCGAGCATCCGGAAGAGTTGGGGCGTCGAGGGCAACTCTCTCAACGACAAATTTTGACGCCACTGGTCCATTGTCGTTCCTGGCGGCCCATGGACGGACATCTCCGGTTGGCAACGATCGGCGTAATGGAATACTCCGCGAACGGTCCCCTTTGGCGGCCTGCCATCCTCTGCGACGTCGAAAAGGGGCGGCCTTGCGTCGCAGCCCTTCGGCACAAGCGGGAAAGCGCCCAACGGTCAGCAGATTCGAATACTTCAGTCGGCCCCTGCTCTCCCGATTGCGTAGTGTCTTCCGCGACAGAATACGTTACCCTGCTTTTGTCGGTAGCTGCGATCGGCCGTTTGCACCACTAACCCTCACTGTTTCCTGGACGTCCACGGTTGTCTTGTAGCTGTTGTCGTCGTCCACGTGCGTTTCATGGCCGACGTCTTTTGGAGGCTGCCGCTGCTGGTGCTGGTCGTCCTCCTGCTCCTCCTCTTAGTTGTCTTCCACATGTGCATCCTTGGCATCGTTCCGCGACATGGCCGCAAAAGATGGTCTTTGAAGAAGGACGTCAGTATGGAGGGGCGCCAGGGGATGTGCAGGTCTGCAGGGGATCAGGGTGGTGGCCAGTGGGCGTCGCAGAGCCCGTCGAGAAGTTCAAGGCTGTCAGAGCGGTCTGGGTACGTGCACCTGCCACCCCACTTGCAACCTCTGTCGGACATGTCCGACGAGGAGGTGGAGGACAAACGGTCATGGACCGTGTTGCTGGGAAGCGGGTCCACCCAGGAGTGGGCGGCTACAGAGCTCTGTGGAAGCCGCGATGACGGTAATGGGCAGTCATACACCGAACTCCTCCGGCAAGGGCTGAGTGGCGACGAAGGCGATGGCAATACAAATAACATACAACAACGTCGTGCAATTGTGTACTTTTCATTCGTCGTGAAGAAGAAGACAAGCAACATGAATAATTTACACAATATGTTGTTAGATTGTTGTGTCTCATACAAAAAAACAGCAGATGACGACACACTTTGCAAAAAATAAAGGCCTTCAAGGCAACTTCAATCCCAAGTTTCGGAAAACAGAACACACACGATGAAGACTCGACCACGTCACTCAGACACATCACCCATGGCGACACCATACTACACGACAACTACGATCGGCACGTGCACGCGCATCACGTCGCCTCGAATGAAACTGCCGGCACACGCCGCCCCGTGCACGGCAACCCACAACGAAACAGCCGCCGCTGCTTCAGCTCGCCGTTTTTAGAAAACGGCCCTGAACACACAACGACCCCAACTCAGACGACCACCCCTTCCAAGACATTACGCCTCCCGCGTCGTCTGCTCTGATTTCTCGCCTGCTCCCCCTGTTGTCCGCTCCGATTTCTCGCCACGGCCACGTCATCGCAGCCGCCCGCTCCGCACGCCTGGCCTGTTCACTCCACACCCATTCTCTCCGCCAGTGAGTCCCGCAGAATGAGCGCATCCCCCGTCGACGACTCCATACACATCGGCCTCAAGGGCTGCTGCATCCCAAGATCCACCCTGCAACGCACACCGTCTGGCCCGACCTCCCGTAGATTGTAGTCGAAGGGGATACCCGCGTCGATGACTATGTTGTGCAGAATGCAGAGGGCGACGAACTGCTGTGGCAACGTCTCCGTGTTCGTCTTGTGCGAGCGAAGGAACAACCTCCTCATCCCCTTCAATCTGCCGAAAGGCCTCTCAACTGCTCCCCTTGTCGTTTTCTACTTGTTGTCGAAGCGCAACTCCGACGGGTGCTGTGAGAGACCACCGTAGGGGACGACTACCTATTCGGAGGGGGGATAACCATTGTCGCCCAGCAGATACCCGTTCGTCTGCACACCGAAGGCAGCATAACAAGTGGCCCAGTGAAAAGTTCCCCTGCCTCAGCGCGCGCCCATAAACTCGACAGGTGCACGATCCTCACGTCGTGGCAACTTCCTGGATAACTGATGAACACATCCAGCACGCGCAAGTTCAGATCGACAATGACCTGCGCCTGGAAAGAGAAACGCCATTTTCTATCGTAGTAGTCCTCCCTGGGGCAATTCGTTGGCTTGTCGATGAAGATGTGGTTGCAGTCGATGCACCCATGGCAGTTAGGGAAACCCTTGTCAGCGAAAGCGCACAGGACGACCGCCTTCTGCAGCCCCGTCGGCCAGGATATCTTGTCGGGGTACGCACTCAGCAACGCCAGAGTTACCTCCCGCACAGCCACCAACCCGGAAGATCTGCCAATGTCGAAGCTGCATGTCTCGCTCTTGTACGTCTCCCCCAACGCCCACCTGTACAAAGCGTACGCGACAATGTGGTCAGGCTGGAGGGGCTCCCTATAGAAAGTGACACGCCGTTCAAGGAAGGGAGACAAAGCTTCCATGATCTCTCGAAATACACATGGCGACATGCGCAGCTTGTCCTTGAAGTAGTCCGCGTTCGCGTCGTCGCATTGCCGCAGATCCTCCCACGTCCCGCCTGTCCGTCGCTTCATCCACCACCTGGGCGTCGCTCTGGGAAATGTTCCACACCCCATGGCGTAGCACACCTGCAGCACGACGTCGCAAATGGCACCACTGTCCTCTCCCTCCACATTCATGGACTGCAGCGTCCTCTTCCGTCGTGTGTGAATGGCCGCTCTCATCCTCTCCTCGCTCCTCTGCAATTGACACCGGAAGAGGATGGCGTTCATGACCGCTGCCACTGCCGTCCTCTCCGCCTTGCTCAGTGTGTCACGGCCCGCCTCCCAGTTCATGGCCACCGCCGAAACTGGTACTGTCGACGTGGGTGTCGCCAAGTATAGAAGACTCCACGTGTGTCGGGCCGCACAACAGTGATGCTACGAGTGACGACCGGAGTGCACAGCGTACACGTCGACGACGAAGGTGCACCTGCGAAGACGACAATGATGGCGATCGTGTGACGACGTGTCTACTGCTTCGGATGCGTACATGTACGTGCGCCATGCCCGCCAACACCCAGCCGCCACCCCGTACCGAAAACGCTTCCGCTGAGGAACGTTGCTACCGTCAGCCGCAAGGGATGTCCACGCCATCGTCAGTCGCTTGCGGAAATTCGAATTTCGAATTTTGAACCCGGGACTGCGCGCCTTTTTCGTGCAATTTTTTTTTTCCGCCGCCAACTTTGGAATTCGCGACGCCCGCCCGAGCTGGACCAACGACGTCGGCACGGACACACCTTGCTGGACCAACCTCCTCTCCCCCCCCGCGTCCACTTGTCGATATATCAAACTGGTCGTGGAAGGCCCCGAGGAATCGTCCTCGGGGAACAATTCCGAGGATGAGTGGAACGACAACGCGAATTTCCTTAGGCGACGACGGGAGAATTTCCTCAGGCCCCGAGGACGGCCCGAGGAGTGTCGAACGAGCCCCACAATCCGAATTATTCCCCTTTTTGACATCCCAAAGATTACTTCAAATTTATTTGCAAAATTTTCTCTTTTATAATGTTTAATTAAATAATTAAAATCTTTCATTTCTAATCTCAACTAGAATGTAAACCTGAATCCTATTCTTTTCTTTTTACTTCTTTCCCAATTATTTTGCAAATCATAATATTCCGTTTTCAAAAATTTTCGACAATTACTTACTTTAACTTAAAATCCATTTCAAATCCATCAATACTACAATGATTTACATTCAATCAAATCAATTAGTCCATTAAATTAATATTGTGTGCGGCACAAGGCCTTGGTAAGCCCTACTGGGCCCTGTTATCAGCAAGGTCGGCCGCCCTAAGTGAAGGCAGGCCCGACCTAGGCCTACTTTGGACTACCACACAACTGGGGAAAATTCAGGCAGTTGCACAGCGCCAGTTGGTTGAAAGCGCCCAGGCCCAGGCTGCCTCTATCGTATGTAACTAAGCTAGGCCCTAGGCAAAATACGCAACATGGACCGAACACAGGCTGCGGGCAGTTGGGCACAGGTAACCACCACAGGTCCTGGGCCTGATTCGTTTGGTCTAAGGCTCAGCCTCTCGGGGCCTATCGGAAGCTTCTGGGCCGGGACCCAGTGCAGCCTTGCCACACGCAGCAGGCAGGCCACTTGCATTTAGGAAAGGGCCTGCCTCCAGATTGGGCATTCAGGCACTGGCTGCATGCTGCGTAAGCGCTGCTGCGCTAATGGCTGACCAGGCCCACGCGCTCACAAGCGAGCCGGGAGAGCAGGCAGCCATAGCTGAGCTGCATTGCGCTGAGCTAGATGGGGCGCATGGTGGTCCTTGGGTGCACGTGGCATCTGTGAGTGGGGGATCGAGGTTGTGAGTGATACGAGAGACATACCTGGTGCTTGAGGCGAACGACATTGGCCGAGATCTGCTCGTACTTCGGGGAGYTGTCGGCGTCACCAGCGGCATTGTAGATAGGCTAGATAGGATCTGCCATTTGTAGTCTGGGCGCAGAGCGCCAGATAGGATGTTCAACATTGGTTCATTGTTGATGATGATGAGACTATTCCAACATTGTCACTTGTGAGCTTTTGAAGTGTTCTTATTTGGTTGAACTCGTGTTGCAATTCTGCTCTTGGGTCGAGGTCACGACTATCTGGTCTCATGTGTATGATGCTGCTCGGTTTCTGAAGTTCGCTATCGCTCATTTTCCTTGCAATT